TTAACTTTTTGGAAAATAAGGTGTGTCCACTAAACACCCAACAAGTTAAACACTTTTTGCGGGGGGGGTCCTTGCGGCAACCAAGTCCTGGCTGGTGTGCCAACCCCCCCCCCCCAAAACAAAAAAACACAGAAGAACGACTCACCCAACTGGTACTGATGGACAAAATCCTGCACCGAGGAGTAATTTTGGTTACCAACAACAACAGCTTCAACCAGCAGTTTCATTTCGTGGTGAGCCCAGTAGAAGACGACCCAGGGAGCCTAGGGAATGAGCCTAGGGAATCCCTTTAAGGAAACCACCTTTGTTGGATGGTTTCTTGGGGTCCTTGCTGAGAGTGCTATGGCTATTTAATGCTGGATCTTTTGACTTTCCGTAGTACCCATTGGCTTTTGGATTTTTCAATTTTGACGAACGCAAGTTTTAAAATTATAGAGGGTCAACAGCAACCAAAGGCGGCCTTAAGGGGGGTTGATCTGATCCCAATACGATTTCACAGTTTAGAGTTGGCTATATAGGAATCTAAAAAGTTCGGACTGTTTTGGCCAATCCACTCGATTGGAAGTGAGAGAATGTCCAATACTGTGGACGCACTCCATTTCGCGCCGTTCAGAAACCCTGGAACTTTAATTTGGCTGTGGCTCAAATAAATCTACCAAAATGGCACCTTGGTAAATGGAACTCTTAAGACTAAAACCGCGAAACCCGAGCTCTTGAGTTTTGAGCCACGGCCATTTCCCCACAAATACCAACGATCGAAATGGGTTTCAACCATGGGTTTCAAAGTGGTGCGATTTCTGGATTTTGCTTTTCCATCAGTGGACTGCCTCACTGAAGCAAGTTCATTTGGGGGTTGACTAGTTTGAAGAGGCCAAACAGAACGCAAGTGAACCAATGTGATATGTTGTGTTGGTGAGTGTCAAAAGACTTGGGGAACTTGATCGACTTGCTCAGAACACTTGAAGTTAATTTTCGTTTTCTGCCTAGGGATGGGTCGTGGCAAACCAAAACCATCATGTGGTTTCAATGGAGGCAAAGCCCCAAATTCGCGGCGAGAGGCTGGAGGTGAGTGCGGTGCTTTTTGGGCTCCCAAAGGCCCCCTTGACCCCTTCAAGCACAGCCTTCGTCTTGGTGGAATTTCAATCGGGAAGCCCTTGGGTGGTGTAAATCCCCACCCACATGGTGCCCAAGTAAAATGATTGCCCAAGTTACTTGATTTCAGGTTCAGCACGCTCACTTCCCGCACAGGGCGTTCCGAATAGCCACCAATATTCTCGGAGCATTGGTTTTAGCTTAATGTTGCGCCCTTCACAAGTGACTTGTCCAACTCAACTCGCAGTTTGGACTGGGTGGCACAATTGACTCGCTTGCTTTGCAAAAATGCCGCTCCTTTCAACTTCGTCCACTTCCGAAAATTGGAGTCAAGTAGAGGTTCATGGATATCAGTAAGGGGTCGAGTTCGCTTCTTGCGAGGTGTTTGTTTGGATTTCCGACAGATGTGATGCGCAAGTTGCATACGAGCTCGATGCTTGTTCGCCTCTTGCACTTTCCTGCCAAATCGGAGTCGCCCGCAGAACCCTAGTGAGAGAAGTTGACCACAATGCCAGATTTGGCTCAGAGAGAGCTTCAAATTTGTAGTTGTCCTCTTTTTTTCTCTCACCTCCACAAGAAAACGGTTCGCATGGAAAGTCGTGTTTTTCTCTCCCACGTCCACGACGGGAGTGAGAAGCACCCTTCATGTTCACAATCACAGACAAACGCAAAGGCCCTCTCCCCAATTTTGTCACTCCCACTGGCCAGCCGGGAGGCAATGAGGCGTTTTAGTTGACTGGTTTGGCAGCTCGAGCTTGGGGATGCTTGGGGCATGTCCTTTGGGATGTCGCAGATTTGGTCGGTTTCCGAAATAAGGGCTTTTGTTATGATCATGTTTGATTTGCCTCGGGGTCCTGGGCCCTTCCAACACAAGCTATAAAAGGCACAACTTTAGAGGAATCCAGGTGGCTTCCTTTGCTATAGTTCCTTGGGACAAATTTGGGCCACTTTGTTAAATGGTTATTGATGATGTTGTTGCTTCTTGGCAAAATTGAGTTGGTTTCTTCCAGATGGACTTTGACTGGACTGGCACTGGATTTTTCAGCAGTTTCATGGGAATTTTGACTGGAGTGGATCTGGAATTCGCTGGATCGGCACTGGCGTAGCGCTGGAAGGACAACTTGAAAAATTGTTTGTGACCATACCGATCCATACCGTGAGCTGTGGCGTAAGTTACATCAGCTGGCAAGGCTCCAAACCCATCACTTTCTGTTGACCTGGTGAATCGCGAGGGGATCCAAGGGCGATTTGCTGGTTTTCGCTGGTTTGACCCTGCTCTTACTTACCATAGGAGTACGAGTTCGAGGTGCTTGACACGACTGAGGCTGCTTGGTTAGCTCATGGGAATGAGTCAACCTATCCGTTTGGGAGAGCCTCTCAAAATGCTCACTTCCCAAGTGGATAGGCCAAACCAAGTCCAAACTTGCCATTTGCCACTCAAATGATCGTCCCGAAAAGTATAAATTTCAGGAACTCAAGGAGTGTGTTTTTTTTTTGGGGGGGGTCGGGAGGGGTCCTTGTAAATTTCACACTTTGGAGGATCAGTTTGAGGATGTCAAGCCTGGCCCAGTTGTTCAGTGGCAGTTTGTTTTGTCCCTTCTTGCTTGGTGGGGGCCCGCTAAAGCTGGCTACTAGGCCCATACAAGGCTAAACTCAGGGGCCTCTTAACCGGGGAAGCCGTAGCGGGTTTGAATTTCCGGCAGTTTCAGGCACAAAAAAACAGCCCCATCAACCGGATGTGCTGAGAGGTGTGCGCCAACAAGACAAATAACAAAACCGCCCAAAATCCGAAATTGCGCGGGAAATACCCCGTTTGCGTGATCCAAATAAACGGGATATGATTTACAGGGCAGTCTCCAAGGGGACACTGTTGAAACTATAAATGGAACGCATGTCGTCTGTGGCTTTAGCCACTTGTTGGGAAGGCTATTCTAGTGCAAACAAAAAAGTTTGAACTTTGTTTGGCTCATCCGCTCAGGCAGTGAGTTGGTGTTTGCAAATCTGGAAACACTAACAAATACACATTGAACCAGCAGGGAGGTCCTGAATGACTTAAGATGGGGGTTGCCTTTGCCAGAGTGGTTGGGTTTGTTTGCCAGAGGCATTGCGAGTAAAACCACGTGCGATGTTTGAAGTGCGGGGAGCTACGTGCATTCCCTGATCACTTGCAAAATTTCGGGATACAAATGAGGAGAACTAGAAACAACTCAAACGAAGCAATGGGAAATCAAAGAGGGTTTTTTTTGCGAGCCAGGCAGGTGCAGGGTTTTCGGACTTGTCAAGTTTCAAGCTCGGTTGGTACCCCCCTTGGTAAGCTTTCGTAGAAGAGATTTGGGTGTCATGTTTGTTGGGGAACATCTTGTTTGGTTGGTTTAAGGGGAAACTGGAGGAAAACCAAGCATGTTGATTCCCAAATTGTGAGACAACCCCTTACCGGTCGTAAAAAGGGAGGGCCAAGAAGCAAGAGCACTGGCACTGTTAGCAGTTTGCCTTCGAAGACTAAGCGGGCTCGATTATCCCAAGGTAAACTTTCCAGTTACCCTCCAGGGCGTCCCAGGAAAAGGGTGCAAACCAGAACCTCCGGAGTGATAGGTTCCATGTTTGTGGATGGGATGGTAGGGGTACTTGATGTCCATTGATTGCCCCCAATGGGGGAATCCCTGCCTGTGTTTCAGTCCCAGTCCGGGTAAGAAACTAGCCCTGGAAACCTGCCGCTGAGGTTGTGAATCCCTCGAACCCAATGACCATGTGCTACAAGGGAGGCTGTCAAGTGAAGGTTCGCAGGAAGTGAGTTCCACCGTTCCTTTGACGTGTCCGAGAAATCAGAAAGGGGGAACCCCCTCCAAAAAAAGCGAAACACGTGTTGGTCGCCTGCTGGCTTCCTTGAAAACAGCAGCCAAAAGGAGGTTCCCCCTATTTTTTAGAATCCCAGGCGCGTATGTTCAGTTCCATTGTCAAACTGGCGGATTTCCTGAATGCTTGCACAAATTGAGCTCGCGTTTTGAGCTGACTGCTCTAGCAGATTTTCCGGAAATCACAGGGCGCCGGCACCTGGTTACAGCTTGGCCAAACCAACAAGATCATTGCCGTGGGCACTAGGCATTTCTCACTTCACCTTCTCGCCCAAAAACCAACACGCCTGATTCACAGGGTCCTCCTTTTCTGTCCCAGAAAGTCGTAGGTGGACCCAACTGGGTGTGGCTCAATATTAAACAGCAGGGGTTAGGTCCATGTTTCCACTCACCAGGGTTCCATTTTGGTACCGGTTTTTTGATGCACAGCCAACTGGTTCTATCTTTTGTGAGGGTACTGGCAAAACCAAGGTCCATATGGGATAAGGGAGATGCCCATTGGCCCCATGGCCCCCGAAAGTTGAAATGAGTACTCACACGAAGGTCCCTTCTGTCTTTGTGAGTCGCACCCCTTCCATTTGTTGAAGTTTGTTGTTTTTTTTTTTTTTTTTTTTTTTTTTTTAAAATCCCCCGTTGGTTTTACAAGGAAGCGATCACCACTGGAAATATTTTTAGTTTTCCACGGGGCTTAAGCAAATGGAAGATTCCCCTGATGAACTTGTTTTGATCGGAGTGCAAATCAGTCTCGGGTTCGCAAAAATGTCCCAATTGGGATCGTAATTTGCCCAGCGATGGTGTTGACGTGATTCTGGGCATTTGGTTCTCAACCTGCAATCTACAGTTTGATGTGTAGAAACAGGTGGCCGGAAGCTGTTGTGAGATTAGACTGGGTGCTTTGAGTACTGAGTTGGTCGACTAAAGAACAAATTTTAGAGAGCCGCCTCCGGATTTAATGCGCAGAGGACACCATGACGCCTTTGGCGCCTTTTTCCCATGTGGAAACACAAGATCGTGAACGCAACTCCGGACGAGGTCAGAAAGTCGTCGTCAACTTTTAAGGTGCCATCGCGTGCCAAAGCTCTGCTCCTCACCTTGCATTTCGGTTGCCCCATGTGACACTCTGTCCATGTTGGTTTAAGGCTGCATCGCAAATATCATACAAGTGAGTTGCTGCAAAGTGGGGTTGGCAGGGAATGGTGGGGGGGTTTTAGTCCAGGAGCCCCGAGGGACACGATTTTCCCCGGTGCCGTGCGAGATGAAAAGAGGCTTGCCAAGTACGCGTGCTTGTGCCTGGCTCCTGCGAATTGGGATGGCCATCTGAGTTGAAACCTATGATGCCGTGTTTGTGGGGCAAGTGCTTTAACGGTTGACCCTGTGCCAGCTTGGCTCTTTGCAAAGGCGGTTCGGATTTGGATGTACTTTTTCAGGTCATAAGCCGACCAACGACCCGCCGAACCTAGGGTTTCAACAAAGCCCAGCTGCGCGGACGCTAGAGCTTTCAGTGCTAAGATGCGATTTGTCCCTGTGCAGGTTTCAGCCGGCTGCACTGATCGGGGACCACCATGGCCACCTAACGGCCTTCGGTGACTCGCGCTGAACTTCACACGCATTGGGCGGGACCACCCTCCAAAGTTGCTTTCTTTAGCGGATTTCGCCGCACAAATCACTTAATCCCTCGCTTGGGATTGCGACGCAGGCCAAGAGCAAGCAAGACGATCTATGCCCAATTTGTAGGTTGATGCCCGCAGTTGAAAGGATGGATGGGGCACGCCCTCAAGGCATGTCTTTAGATATTTACGTATCCATAGAAGCACCAGCGAACGGGCATTTTCAGGTTCCCCCAGCTTCATTGGCTTGGCACATCTTGGCACACAGTAAGAGGCAACCTGTTTCATGCTTCAACCGTGCGCGATTAGTTTAAAAACAATCGCGGTAGCAAACCTACCCTTGCTACACAAAGAAGCCCACGGAATCTCCAGCAATCCTCTTTCCAGGAACCTTTCTCGACGCTTTGCCACTTGACACTTGACACCGAGCAACTGCTTGTGGTTCTTGTTTATTTTTTTGGTTTGGGGGGACGTAGTCCGTGGTCAACATGAGTGTGGATGGTCAAAACCCCAGTGTTTGGCAGGTAGGGTTTCATCAGTACCAGCTGGTGTGAGCAAGCTTCTCGAAATGGCTCTCACTTCTTAAGTACCAAGAGGATAAATCTTGAGGCTGTCATTTAACTGGACAGCTTAAAAGATGATTGGAGGACAAACGGACATTGATGAGTTTCAGTTGTTGATGACACCACCTACCTGTTGCAGTTCCTTATGCTACACGCCCACACCCATAATTCGCCTTGGCGGGTAGCCATGGGAAGCTGGCAGTGAAAAGGTGCGCCGATTTGAGCAGCGTACTGAACCTCTTGAAATCACCGCGAGATCCCTCCCTAAAAAAGAAAACCGTGAGCATCAGCCCAAGAGAAAGCGCATCAAATGAATGGGCAAGCAATAGGTGATGCTTAAACCAAAGTGGAAATGGAACGGGCACCCTATAAGTCTGCAGTTGTTCTTAATTTGCGGGATCTAAGATATCAACAAGTGTAGGCGAAGCCTGGCAATGAAAAGACATCATCTTGTTGGGGAGGTTTCACTTTATTCTTAGCACCCCCTCCGGACTTGAAATTCGCAAGGAAATGCAAGGCCTTTTCTTTTTGCTTTTGCGAGGGCGGCTCGCAACAAGTCCGCCGTGAAAGCCGACATGCAAGGGACTCCTGCAACCCAGTGCCGCATGTCCCGGGGGAAGAACGTAACCTAGTGGGGGAGCTCGAATCAGCGTCAATACTGCGACGCTGGCTGGGCCATAGCGAATAGGCCTTTGAGCTTTTCATATTCGATGCTTGCCCGTTTTGCAAATGTCCCACAAGGCTGGCCTTTTGCCTCGTGGCAAGGGTTATTGCAAGTGAGTTTTCCCCACTCCTTCAAATCCCAGCTCTTGGCTTTTCGTGTGCACCTCGGGAAGAATAGGGTTGAATGGGGGGGCCAGCCAAGGGATCACAGGTGACGGATTTCCCAATTTTGAAACACAGGATGGCAAAGGATAGAGCCAAGGTTGGCAAGATCGATCGATGGGAATCTTTGGGCGCCAAATTGCGTGCTGCGAGCCGCTAATCCCGATGTTTGATAAAGCCCCCACGCCTGCAAAGCGACGTGCTCCCCCCATTCACAAAGAACCCAGAGCAATGATTTTGGGGGAGTCTGCTTTGGGGCATTCCGAATTTGGGTTCCTATTCAGTGTTGCAAAGTGCCCGCACCCAGCAGTTCGGATTTTGGCTCAGAAGGCAACAAGCAATTGCCAAGGTTTGAGAAGAGCCACCACCCAGCCACTTTGCTCGTCAGTCTCTCGCGTATGATCCTATGGTGCGCGGTTTCTGCCACCAGTGCAACCAGGACAGCTGCGTTTTGCGCGAACTCTGCAATGCGTTGCAACAGGTTTGTGTCATGTGTCACCTGACGTTTGAGCGTTGTACTGACCGTGGATTCAAGTAGGACTGGTTGGATAAATCGGGCCTTGTGTCCCTGAAAAGTCACGAATTCCCTCAAAACGAGTTGCGCTTCCTCAGCCAAGGTTTCCATTAGGCGGTGATCCGCAAAGAATCATGTCTGGCTGGGGAAATGGGTGCCTTCACCGTTCAATTCTTTAGGAGATTCATTCTTCATGATTTTCCTGGTACTTCTCGTCTTTAACTTGCTTTGCTAAAATCTCGAGTTTGTTTTTTCTTCGTGAAGTCGCCTAAAACTACTAAAACTCATATGTTCGGGAGATTGCAGAATTGGTCCCTTTTTACGTCCTCCCCGCCCGGAATTACCCGCACGCCCGCAAAAGCCCGCAAACGCATGCGAAACCCCGCAAACGCCCGCAAATCAGAAAATGGCGTTTTTGGGGTTATGGGGTCGCCCAAAACTCCTAGAAACCATTCAAAACGTCCAACACGTCCAAAACTACCAGGAAACCAAAACGCCTAGGAAAAGACCTGAGAATGAATCTTCAGGTGGGGTTCAAGCCAGAATGTAAACAATGGGGGTTGATATTGCGCGAGTTGTGAACAGGGCCCCCCCTTTCCGTTCAGTACAGAAGATTGCATGGCCCGTGGATCTTTGCAGTGTGGATGACACGCACAAATCGAGGCATGAGCAGTAGAGTTGACATCCTCCAGCCCCCCTGAAAACCAAGGCATAGAAAAAGTGCCGCTCTGGGTTGAATTGCCCTAATTGCCCATTAGAAGATATAACGCCATTGTTCACCTAATAAAGCGTCATCTAAATTGTGTCAACCCTGGCCCCTCAAACTCCCGTAGAATTTCTACGGGCTCTTCTTTTCATGGGGTTGAACCCTTGCGTTGCGATGTCTCACCTGGGCTCAGGAGGTGGACTGTGAGGCTGAGGCAAGCGGGGACCTCCGATGCTTGCCACTTGGCGCCATGGGTTTTCCTTTTAGTCATGGCCTCCCTAAACAGTTAAATGATTTATGTTTTGGGAAAAGTTTCATTGGCAAGAGTTGGCAAGAGTTGTGAAACGTAAACATATTGTAGGGTGTTGTTGGGACACATGTCATATTTTTGCTTCTTGTGGTTTGGTGGTTGAAATCCCCACTGAACTGCTAAAGATTGAACTTTTTCCCCCCTTCCAATGTCAACCAAGGAAAAGTGAACCTTTCATTTCTGGGTCCCTAAGGTTTGAGGCCAGTCCGACACCAATCCACGTCTTCCCAGTTCGGAGCCTTGTTTGCCCCTTGCCACCAGGCTCACTGAACTGGCCTCAACCGTGCGACTTCCCCTAAGCAGAAGGTTTCCAGCGCGTAGAATCCTTCGGCGCAGGAATCCATGGCTGGGCCTTGGACATGTGCTACGTAGAAAGTGTGTGTGTGTGTGTGTGCCTCGGTCGGTGTCTTTTTTTCTTAGGGGTGGCCTTGGGTTGAGAGGAAGCCAAAATTGAGGGTCCCCT